CAAGATACTCTCTTTAAATTCCCTAGTCAGTTGGGACAATAGAAGCTAACATACACTATTATTGTACAACAGTGGCCTTTTAGTTAGGTGTTTCTGATCCGTTTTCATGACATATTTTGAAATAACCCATCATAGAACAGTATTTCAGACTAGAACAAAGATAACACTTTCTGTCTGGAAAGACCAATATTAAATTACACTTTTAGAAGAGCAAATCAAGACCAGACATGGATTGTTTATGAGGATCTTAAATACACTAGCAGATCTCCTGATATGTTCATGAGAGATGCAGCCTTCTAGGTTTTTTTTCCATGCATTGTATATGGAAGAGGAATTAAGTGTATTGAAATGATACTTGTTGCAAAGGGTACAAAGAAAAATAGTGATCAGAATGACTGAGAGAAGATTGAGCTATGTAGCATCCAGCTATATTGGGAGAAAGGGAAAATGAATTAACAATCACTGAATTTAATAAATACTGTAGCTTTTACATTAAAGTAATAAAATAACATTTTATAATAATATAGACAAAGTGGGACACAAATATTTTTAGCTTTTATTAAGCTTTTCCTGTGGGTTTGTTTGGGGATATTTTGGTAAATAGCATAACAGAATGTATGAACTGGTACTTAGTTGCCAAAAGCAGTAAGAGGCTCTTACTGTTAACACAATAGAATAAATATGTATAAAGAAGAGTTGCTTTACCTGGGAAGCTAAGTGCACAATGGATTAGACTGATGTAATCTTCACTAAATCTTCTTGTATGTAGTAACTTCCTTACTTCCTGTATTGTAAACTCTCATCTTAGCTACCTGCCTGCTAATACCCAATGTAGACCAGCCCTGGATATTTTTACCTAAACACCCTGGATATATTTACCTGACTAATTTCTGCCACTGAAAATGCTTATGTGATCACCTTCTTGTTATGATGGAGATGGTTGTGCCCTATATAGAATTCAGTACTGCTGTCATCTTCAGAGCTGTCCGAAGAGCTTTATATGATGCTGTGGTTTTTAGGATTCCCAGAGTGAAAGTAGGAATCAGTTTTCCCTGTTTGTCTCAGCAACATACTGGGCTTTTGCCCTGGAATGTAACAGAGTACTACAGTGCAACTTCTGTCCTCTTCCCTTTTGTAAATCCTTAGAAATCCTGGGAGAATAAATAACAGCATGGTAAATTGGAAACGTTTTGTTCGTGAGCAAAGGTACTAAAGCCATCTCTACTGGGAGGTGATGCATTGTAAGCTCAGGTTCTCGGTAATCGTATCTCAGCTTTATACAGTTCTGGTAGTGAAGGTTTCTCAAAGTTTCATCTCCTTCCTGTGGCAGGAAAGAGCTATTCCCATGATCAAGGCCTTGCAACACTGTTAATTTTACATCAGCAGCTTAATGTTAATTAATAGCATGAGTTGTGTTCTGCTGAAAATATTTCAATTTATACTTCCACAAAAGATGCCCAAAGAAATTCCAACTAACTAGTTGTGCAAATTCTTTTAAACTTACTCCACCAGATCTTTACTTTTAAGCTGTCTGTAGTGCTGGCTACACAGTGGTTCCAGTTAGACATAAAAGCTATTTTTAACAGAAGTGATTTAAAATCCTTGATAGTTTACTGGAAAGTCCTCCTGTTGTTAATCCTGGGTACTACTTCTTATCTACCTGAGTGTTTGAGAAATACAGTGAACTTTGTCATGTGTCATGTATGAGCCAGTGAGTAGTCCATGCATCATCGCTAAAACGTTGGTATTTCCGCTTATGCTCTGTAAGTTAATTTATGTAAATCACATAAATAAGAACTATACACAAAAACTTTTTTGAAAGTTTGAAAAAAATTAGAAAATTACTTTTAGTTAAATATCTTGGAGCCATTGGGAACTGAATTTTTTATATTCTAAAAATATTAATGACTTCACATCATTTTCCTCACAGCTCAGAATATTTTGACAGTAATTATTTTCTCAAAATAACTATAGTGATTCAACGAAGGACTTAATCAAACAGTACATTCTTAATCATGGACTGTAATAGAAAGCATTGGAGGAAGAGAAGTATGAGTGGGAATATTTTTTGATCTTGAAAAGTATGTTTTTGATCGTGCTGCCAGCCTGTACACCAGGGACAAGCAATGAGTCAGTCTGGGGGCATGTCTGTGATCCTACAGCGGTGCTCAGCTGGCACCACCGCAGCGACCTGCGGTGTGCAGCACAGCCCAGGGGCTGGCTCAGACACTGCAGGCTACTCGGCCCCCGTTCCACCTGGCAGCACAGCTGCCTCAGTTTCCCTTCTGCTGCTGCTCTGTCTAGAGCTCTCCCATGTGCCTCTTCAGATATATATGCGAATGTTTTTCCAATCCTTTTGATGGAGTAAGTCAAGAGGGGCTTTCTGCTGATCTCCAAAATCCTGGATCACTGGTCACGTGTCTGCTGTGACCAAACAAGTAGATGCTTATATTAAAGAACTTTATATTAAAATCCTCTTTCGTAAATAAAAACAAACAAACAAACAAACCAACGAAACCAAGTGTTTTATTCTCATGCTAGAATTTAGTATTCTAGAGGAAAAATAATATTTTTTCATGATTAGGGAATTCATAGATTGTTTCAGTGTTTTGAAGTTTATCCAGGAGATCTTATTGTAAATAATTCAGTCTTTCCCCAGTTGTATTAATTATAATTTAAATATTTTTAATACCAAAATTAGATGCAGCAGAAATAATCTTTTCTCACAAAAGTAGATTAAAAAGTTCCATATTTTTCTAACAAAATCTAATAATAGTGGTTTAGATATTAGTATTAATTTTATGTACAAATTCGAAGGCAGATTGTCAAAATATAATTAGAAAGCTCTATGCAACAAATTAAATAGACTCTAGTAGCATGGATGAAAAAAGCATCTGTTTTGAAGTACTTTCATTAGAAATTAGAAGACTTGAGTGGGCAAAATTAGATTTGTATGAGATTAAATCAGAAAAAATATAAGAACGTTAGCTGCAAAGAATAGGAAAATACCTATGGACCATGGAATAAGCAAAGTATCATCTAGAATTTATGTTGAATAGTATAAATAGACTATAATCTTCAATTTCTAAAAAACTTTAACTTCATATATTTACTAAATATACTTGAAGTCATTATAGTTACATTATTCTTAAAATCTAATGAAAATGACTGATTTTTAGAATTCCTTTCATTTGTGCGTTTCACTCAACTGGATGAATGCCTCTATGCCTTCAGCTCAATTTCATTTTCAGGCTTCTGTAGTAGCACAATTTTTGAAGCATCTATGGTGTTAAATACATCCCTGTTCCAAGGTGCACCTTCCTGGTGTCAAGTGTGTTGATAGGTCCTGTTTGTCTGCTAGCCTGAAAATGATGCTTGCCATTAAAATCTCCATAGGTATGTGTTCATTTAACAGCTTCCAGCTGTGGATTTTTTTTGAAGGCTGGGAGAGAAATATATTGATATAGTCAACTATATGCTGTCTTAACGTAAGGAAAAAAAGACAAAACAAAAGAAGCTTGTTTTATCTTTGAGATTAGTAGTGGATGGCTGGAAAAGAGCAAGCATCTCCAAATTGTGTTAGTTAAGGGAATGCTATTGTTTGGGAAGGTTAGAAGCATAACATTTCATGAGATTTCCAGTGCTCACAGTCTTAGCTAAGTTGCATAAATTGCAAGAATTATTTTCCTTCGGTATTGCCTGTCTTTCTACTTCAACTTACAGCTGCAAGCAATAACCAAAGAACTGGTTAATGACAGAAATTTTTTAAAAACGTTTTTTGAAAGAATTCTGCTCAACTGAGTATAAGTTGAGAATTGGTCTTGTAATGCTATATGGAAAACGTGCCTACCATTTGTAATTAATCTCATCCTTCCAAACATAATTGACTCAGCTCTGTTAAGTTACGTTGCTGATAAGTCAATGCACAACTTCCCAAGTCTCACAAATCTTCATGAAAATTTAATGATTTTGAAATTGCGTGATTCGCCAATCCTGACAGCTTGAAGTATGTCAGTGTATGTACACATATAATTTTGTGTGTGTGTATATACGGATATATACACATATATCTGCAAAGCAGATGTGTCACATCCTGCTCTTCTGTGTTCCAGAAGCGCAGAAGTTTTTTTCCTACTGTTTCTACCTCTAATCAGTATTCAATCTGTATTCAGCTAAGACTGCTAAAATATAATTTAAGAAAGGTGTTGAAATAGTAAGGCATTTTATTTAAGTTCATTTTAAAAACAAGCAAAACAGGAAATAAGCCTAAACTTCTGTCATTTGTTCAAAATGAACATGCATTGCAAAACTGTTGTTTTAAATTGATTTGCTTATTACTTTTTTTTTCCATTTAAAAAAAATGGTTTCATTTCTTATGTTTGGTTTTGTTCTTAATCCTGAATCCATCTTATAAACTGGAAAGTTGCTTATGTTTATATATTTCTCATTTGAGCAAAAATTACTGACATCTTCCCATATATGAGTAACGGTTGAATTTCACTTCAGTGTTAAACCTGACATCATACTCGCCCCAACGTCTGCGTGCCGGAGCTTCGCGGTCCGGTTTGGCCGCTGTCTTTGCTCAAACAACCTCTCGTTGCAGGCCAAGTGAGGGAGACAGGCGGTGGTGGCTGGGCGGTGCGGCGGGCCGAGTGCTCCCGTGGCAGCAGAGCTCACCGGGCACCGTCTGCCTCGGAGAGCGCGGGCAGGGAGGGCGAGCGAGCCAGGGAGCGCGGGGCGCTGGGAACGCCCAGGGCACGCACCGCCTTCCCTGTGCAAGCAAGACCCTGGTTGGGTTTTGGGGCATGTCTGGTTTTTTTGCTTTTTCAAATGTAAAATTGGGTATGTTTGTTGGGGCTGTTTCATCTTCAAAGTCAAAGGACAAGAAGTGCCCCTGCTTCACCGCACCGGTTATGACTTTGTTTTTGTTTTGAGATAAAAATGGAGGTTTAGTTCAAGTGTTCCAAAACCAGATACCACTCTCTCTCTCTTTCTTGTAGGCAGGGTGCTGCTGTGCCAGGCAAACCAGGAGGGATCTCCCGTGTACAGTGCCCCCAGTTCACTAGTATACACATCCACAAGTAAGCCAGTGTTACGGCTCTTTTCTTGTTTTGTTTTGTGACGAAAGCACATTAATGTGTATTAAGCCCCCTAAAAATGTAAACTTTCCCAATAGCTCTCGTTAAGGTAAATGTGGTATTTACAAACGTATGTAAGAATGTCAACAGATAATTCAGTGGTTTTAGTTGCATCTTTATTCTCAAAGTATATTTTATTAAAAAATTTTTTTAAAAAATACCAATATTGCAATGTTCTACGGAAATGGTCAAAAGTTCTAGAGTAACACTGAAATTTTTTCAGAATCCAGTACTGTTGCGCACTCTGCATTTTGTGTAGAAGATGGAAGTTGTGTTTCCTTTTCCTTCCTGCTCACAACTGTGATTTAATAAACAAAAAGTCTTGTATCATGCCACCATTTGATTGTATCAGGAAGCGAATAGATATGATGCCTTTTTCACAAAAGGAAAAAGACTGTCTGCTTGTGGGTGTTTTGAATTATAAAAAGCTGCCCTAATGAAAATAGCAAAGACAAGCTGAGACAATAGATGCTGCCACCAGGGATTTTTCTGTACAAAACTTTGGAGTAGAAAAGTGTCCTCTGAAATCCTGAAGTAGAAGCAGAACCGATTGATTTTGCTGAGAGTATTTTAGATTGTATTGGTGGTACCACTGATACCCACCCTGAAATGTGGTCAGCTGTTAAGCCTCTAGCCAAATCAAACACTCATAACTGCTGCTTGCAGAATTAGGGGGAACAGCAGCATTTGCTCTACGTCCTTAGCAGTCCTCTGTAACGAAAATATTTTACATTGTCTGATTTAACAACGTTATCGGATATGCTCTTTATGAAGATTGTATTCAATCTAGAATGCAATTCTACTCTTTTAAAGCTTATCTAGACTACTAAAATAATTATTTTATTAATTAAAACCAGGAATGAGGATGAGAGTTCCATAGTGATCATCTCTACAGTCATGTAACTCTCTTGTGTCAAAGACTGTGAATATCATCCCTAGAGCTGCTGCTTTTACAGTATAAATGAGTTCTATTTCAAATTGCGAGTCTACAAATACGTAGTTAACCAACAAAATAAATGAAGTGTTTTAAATTATAACTGAAATTATCAATTAAATCTGCATTTGCTTCCAGATGCTCCAAGAATATTTTGTGCTGTCACCTTTCCCAAGCAGGTTTTTTTAATCCTTGTAGTAACTTAGAGATGAAATACTTGCTGTATAAATCAGTGTTCCCTATAATACATTTTAGTGGACTAATCGTTTTTGACTGAAATACCAGTCTTTTGACTGAAATTGCCAATCTTTGACTGAAGATTCTCTTCCTAGAAAATTGTCCGCATTTCATTCGTCTCACTGTCAGGGACCTTCTTTGGGGGTTGGGGGGAAGTGGCTTTGTTTTTTATTTTCTGGAGATTAAATAAGGCCTTTCTTAAGTTTACCCTGTTGCTCCTATTATCTCACTGAGTTCTGTCCTAGGAAATGTATTTGTGAGGTTGCTGTTTACATTGTACAGTATTTCCACTATTATTAAATCCGTGGATAGTTGTTGTATAGCTAGCTAAGCTCTATACTTCACTGTTTGCATTATGTCTCATGAGTCAATCCCTTGGAAAAAATCTTATTTTGCAGTGGTGCTCCTTGAATAATGATATCCTAACAAACACCTGTTTGTTTTCAATTATGCCAAATACATAAGTAAACAGACTTTGCCTATCTGCCTCCCACTGGGCAACGTGTAATACACAGTTTCGTAACACAGATTGCTAGTAGCCCTTGCAGTAGAAATTATTACACTTTTGTTGAATCTGTGTGCCTGCAAGTTATGATTTTTCTTTTATGATGTATAGCATTTTATATTGCCAAAATGTTGTTTCCCCCACAGGGTCGCAACTCCTAATAATACAAAAATTACTGAAATTGCTAATGATTGTAATTAGTTTTTTGTTTCTTCATATTACAAAACTTTCAATAAAGATGTAAAATAGTTCCGTTTCTATAAGACTCTACTAAGAAGTGAATAGAAACGAAGCTTGAGTTTTGTCTCATTTTCTTTCTTATGTTATTTTAATGATCTTCTATACTCCATTTTTATTCACATTTGTAATATTGAAATGATAACTGATGAGTCAACATTATAATCTAGGAGACTAATACTTTTACTGTTACCGTTCCATGCAGACAACAATATTTCAACCTTTGTCTTTGAATAATTGTTCATCATTTATTCTGTTACTGCCAGTACTGTAATCATGTAATATTTCAGAGCAGCTTACAATGTAAGAATTAGGAGGTTTTAAATTTATGATTTTTTTTTAGCAGAAGGGAA